GGCAGCAGGTAGTATATACACTGTGTAGGTGCGCAGGATTGTCCTCGCTTGGCACGGTGGTGGTGTATGGACGCCGTCTAGGTATTCCCTTCTTTGTAGTGGTGTGTCTCCTGCTGCTGCTCGTCTCATCGTCTCGTCGTCTGTCGTCGTCGTCGTCGCTCACCTCGTGCCCCTGCCCTCATCCATCCTTCCCGCCTTCTTCTCCTCCTATTCCTTCCTTCTCCTGCTCCTTCTCGGTCTCCTCCTTCTCCGCCCAGTTCCTCCCTCGTCCCTTTCCGTCCACAGTCCTCCTTCTCCTCCTTCTCCTCCTCCTCCTCCTCCTCCTCCTCCTCCTCCTCTCCTCTTCTTCTCATCCTCCCGCCTCAGAGTGACGGGAGAACGGAGAAGCAATGCAAGGTGTCGCCGTCCAGGGTTGGAAGTCTGTTTCTGTTGGGGGCGAGAATCGAGGCGGTCCTCCAGCGTCTCAGCCCACTGGCTTGCAAATTCAATCCCCAGAGAACGCCTGGCCTGCACAGCCACCCCCCTCCCACATCGCCACTGCCATACGTTTCCGCCGCGGCCCTCTCGCCACCCTGTCCCGGCCCCCTCCACCTTGCCTCTTGTCCCCCCCCCCGCCCCCCCCCCTCCCCCATTCTCATCGTTTCCACCGTACCTCTCCAGACGATCCTTTCCCTCCCCCCTTCATTCCCCCCAATTCCCCGTGCCTTCCTGGCGGCCTTCCTCCCCTTCTTCTCCGCAGCCCGTCTGGTGTGTCGATCCGCTGCCATGTTTCCCCTCGCCCTCTCCCCCCCCCCACCCTCAGCCTGCCCCTTTCCACTCCTCCTCCTTCGCGGGCCGGCCGCGAGGCTGAGTAAGCCGCCAGGTGCACACAGGAAGCGACCATGCATCGAGCACGCCGCCGCCGGATTGATGCACGCCAGCAGTCCCATCGTCCTCCTCCCGAGTCTCATCGTGGAGACGATCTTGGGCCAAACGAAGACGAGCCTTCCGGCATGCTTGGCCAGCATGTGGCCTGGCTGAGCGAGGACTCGCGCTGTGGCGGCACCCGGCCACTCCCCCGCTTTCGCGGGGCCCGTCACGAAGACGCTGGCTGGAGGCCGGACGACGTCGCAGCAGATGCACGCGCTGGACGCGAGGCGGAGCTGCCCCGCCTGGGCTGCGAGACGCCTGGTTCGGTAGCAATTCATGGGAGCCTCGTATACCCTCTCAGTTCAGTCTTTAGCGTCGATTGGCGTCGATGAGCGCCTGGGAGAGCCGATGAGACAGCGCCGCTTCAGCCTCGGCTCGCGCCGAGTAGTCTCGACCAGCGTCGATTAGCGTCGATTCGCACGAGCCAGCAAGATGGCACAGGAGGCTCCCGTGAGGTGCCACCGAAATTAGCCTGGCGAAGGACCCAACCATATGCAGCTGTAAGTACCGCAATAGTAAACATCTTCTTCGGTGCGGCGCCGCCATGCCAACGCAGCCATTGGGAGCTTCGGTGGAGCTCCCTATGGGGCCACGAAGCGTGTAAGGGGTGTGCCGAAATGGGTGCGGCGCCGCCATGCCAACGCAGCCACTGGGGCCTTCGGTGGAGCTCCCTATGGGGCCAGGAAACGTGTGAGGGGTGTGCCGAAATGGGTGCGGCGCCGCCATGCGAACGCAGCCACAGGGGCCTTCGGTGGAGCTCCCTATGGGGCCACGAAACGTGTGAGGGGTGTGCCGAAATGGGTGCGGCGCCGCCATGCGAACGCAGCTACTGGGGCCTTCGGTGGAGCTCCCTATGGGGCCACGAAACGTGTGAGGGGTGTGCCGAAATGGGTGGTGGGGAGGCATGCGAACGCAGCCACTGGGGCCTTCGGTGGAGCTCCCTATGGGGCCACGAAACGTGTGAGGGTGTGCCGAAATGGGTGGTGGGGAGGCATGCGAACCCTGCCACTGGGGCCTTCGGTGGAGCTCCCTATGGGGCCACGAAACGTGTGAGGGGTGTGCCGAATGGGTGCGGCGCCGCCATGCAAACGCAGCCACTGGGCCTTCGGTGGAGCTCCTTATGGGGCCACGAAGCGTGCGAGGGGTGTCCGAATGGGTGTCGGCGCCGCCTGCAAACGCAACCACTGGGGCCTTCGGTGAACTCCCTATGGTGCCACGAAACGTGTGAGGGGTGTGCCGAAATGTGCGGCGCCGCCATGCCAACGCAGCCACTGGGGCCTCGTGAGTCTCCCTATGGGTCCAGGAAGCGTGTGAGGGGTGTGCCGAAATGGGTGCGGCGGGCCGCCATGCAACGCAGCCACTGGGGCCTTCGGTGGAGTTCCCTATGGGGCCAGGAAGCGTGTGAGGGTGTGGCCGGGGGGAAATGGGTGCGGCGCCGCCATTCCGACGCAGCCACTGGGGCCTTCGGTGGAGCTCCCTATGGGCTCACGAACGTGGTGAGGGGTTGCCGAAATGGGTGGCGAGCTGCGATCATGCCAACGCAGCCACTGGGGCCTTCGGTGGAGCTCCCTTATGGGGCCACGAAACGTGTGAGGGGTGTGCCGAAATGGGTGCGGCGCCGCCATGCGCCCGCAGCCACTGGGGCCTTCGGTGGAGCTCCCTATGGGGCCAGGAAGCGTGTGAGGGGTGTGCCGAAATGGGTGCGGTGCCGCCATGCGAACGCAGCCGCTGAGGCCCTCAGTGGAGCTCCCTATGGGGCCACGAAACGTGTGAGGGGTGTGCCGAAATGGGTGCGGCGCCGCCATGCGAACGCAGCCACTGGGGCCTTCGGTGGAGCTCCCTATGGGGCCACGAAACGTGTGAGGGGTGTGCCGAAATGGGTGCGGCGGCGCCATGCCAACGCAGCCACTGGGGCCTTCGGTGGAGCTCCCTATGGGGCCACGAAACGTGTGAGGGGTGTGCCGAAATGGTGCGGCGCCGCCATGCGAACGCAGCCACTGGGGCCTTCGGTGGAGCTCCCTATGGGGCCACGAAACGTGTGAGGGGTGTGCCGAAATGGGTGCGGCGCCGCCATGCGAACGCAGCCACAGGGGCCTTCGGTGGAGCTCCCTATGGGGCCACGAAACGTGTGAGGGGTGTGCCGAAATGGGTGCGGCGCCGCCATGCGAACGCAGCTACTGGGGCCTTCGGTGGAGCTCCCTATGGGGCCACGAAACGTGTGAGGGGTGTGCCGAAATGGGGGCGGCGCCGCCATGCCAACGCAGCCACTGGGGTCTTCGGTGGAGCTCCCTATGTGGCCACGAAACGTGTGAGGGGTGTGCCGAAATGGGTGCGGCGCCGCCATGTCAACGCAGCCACTGGGGCCTTCGGTGGAGCTCCCTATGGTGCCACGAAACGTGTGAGGGGTGTGCCGAAATGGGTGCGGCGCCGCCATGCCAACGCAGCCATTGGGGCCTTCGGTGGAGCTCCCTATGGGGCCACGAAACGTGTGAGGGGTGTGCCGAAATGAGTGCGGCGCCGCCATGCCAACGCAGCCACTGGGGCCTTCGGTGGAGCTCCCAATGGGGCCACGAAACGTGTGAGGGGTGTGCCGAAATGGGTGCGGCGACGAGGGAGGGGGCAGCGGGAGGAAGGAAGGAAGGAGCGAACGCGGGGCGCTGTCTCTTCAAAACGAGGACCCAACACCACAGGAGGGTTGGGAAAAACACACAAGCACACACACACGTTTTGTGGGAACACACACTTTGGGAAACACACACCCACAAACACTTGTTTTTTCCCCAGCAATGCAACGTGGGTGTTGTGTGTGTGTGGTGTGTGTGTGTGTGTGTTGTGGTGTGTGTGTTGTGTGTTGTGTTTTCCCACCGTGTGGTTTTTTTTTTTTTGTGTGTTGTGTGTGTGTTTTGTATGTGTGTGTGTTGTTGTGTGTGTGTGTGTGGTGTGTGTGTGTGTGTGTTTTGTGGGTGTGTGTGTGGTGTGTTTTTTCCTCATGTTGCCTTGGCTTTGCCTGTGCAACCCCGGGTCGTCGATGTTGCACCAGCTGAGCCTGCCGCGGGCCCAGGGGAGCGCGACCCCCCTCGCGCGGCTTGGCATGCCGTCGTCTCTGGCGAAACCAACAGTTACACATACTGTGGGAAAAAACACACTGTGGGAACAAAACACAAACACACACTGTGTTTTTTTTTGTGTCCACTGTGTGTGTGTGCGTTTTTGTCCCACTGTGTGTGTGTGTGTTTTTCCCACAGTGTGTTTTGTTTCCCCACAATGTTTTTTTTTCCTACTCCCTGGGCCCCTCCCGGGGCGCACTCCGACCAGCATTGCGAGGCGAAGCCAGCGGTGGCGACGAGGGCCTCCCAGGAGGCTCAAAAAGGGGAAAACGAGGGACGGGTAGCGGTACGGGTATTTCTTCCTCCTCGGAGTCGTCTCTCGCTCACTCGGGCGAGCGCATCTGCCGCGGGAGCGGCATCGTGTCGACGCCCCGGCCGGCGTCGGCGTCGCCCCCAGGGCTCGCCACCACGAGGAAGGGGCTGGCCGCCCCTGCACAGCGCGGGCAAGAAGACGGCCGACACCGCACGCGCCGCTCCGGGGGCTGCACCCGAGCCTGGCCAGTGGCGCGGGGCCGCGTCGGCGCGGATGACGAACGCCCTCTCCGACGGGCAGTCGCTCCTTTTCGTCCTCCCCCCCCCACACCTATCAGACCATCTCCCCTTCCCCCGTATTCCTTCACACCTTCTGCGCGCCATGTCGTTCCTCCTCCTCCTCCTCCTCCTCCTCCTCCTCGTCTTCTCCTGCTTCTTCTCTTCCTCCTCCTCCCCTCCTCATCCTCCTCATCATCCTCCGCCTGCTTATCTTCCTCCTCGTCTTCTCCTCCGCCTATATCTCCCCTGATCCGCCTCCCGCGCCTTCTCTTGGCCCTCCTCCTCGTCCTCCTGCTCCTCCACCCCCGCGTCGCCCTGGATCTCGCGATCGTCCTCATCCCCCTCGCCCAGCGCCCCTCCCGTCCCCTCGCCCTCGCCCTCGCCCTCCCCCTCCCGCCCCTCCAGGCCATCACTGCTGCCCTCCTCGCCCCCCGCGCCCCTCGCCCGTGCGAG